TCTTTCCGTCCACTTCAAGACAGAGTCCTCACCGCGGCCCCAGATAACGTGTAAATTAGCTTCATGGAACCGAAAAGCCAGTTTGTGGAGCCTTGAAGGAACCATTTAGACTCAACTTCAATTAAGTTGCAGCTGCTGAGCTGGGCTGCTGGACAGGGAGGCTCGTGCCTCCTCCCAGAGCGGGCGCCATCAGGCCTCCAGCCCTGGGCCTGGCCGGTCTCAGGTGGCCTGCCCAAATATATGGCTCCCGCTTAGCCTCCAGCCCATCTCACCGTGGGCAGCCCGAGCCCCGGCACTGACCCAAGTCCCTTGGAAGGGCATATCTCTTTTCTTGCAGTCTTTGTTTCCCCAACTGCTGCCTCATTTAACCAGCAAGGTAGGCAGGGTGTCCAGCTTCCCACTGGCATAAAAGCCACGCATTGTAGGAGCTGTTAAAGGGTTTTGAGGCCAGCAGGTGGCATGGTGGTTAAGGCGCTGGACTCCCACATGGCCGACCACGGTTTAAGTCCCAGACCTCATGGTCTGAAAATCATGCCGGGCACTTTCATGTGTCTGCATGCCCAAAATCCCAAGAGGAGAAGGGATCGTGGCATGGCCATCCCTCCTGGGGAGTGATAGCTCACTTTCTCTTTCTCTGTCTCTCTCTAGCAAGTGCATGTGCCCTAAGGCAAAACCTTAGGGAAAAAAGAGTGAAGAGTGTGTTTGTCATGGCCTGAGCTAGACACAGGAAGAGGCCGCCCCCAAGCCCCTTTCTTCCCCTTTGTGACCCCAAAGGCCAGCCAGGGTGGGCCTGTGTCAGGGTAAATGAAGCTCCGTTCTCTCCTTCATAGACGTGTGGTTGTCTCAGACCGACCTAATACATGATTTTAGGAGCTACACAATTAGCCTGAAAGCAAATGGAGACAGAAGTGAGCTAATTGCTCGCGTGGTTTTAGCAAGCGTCGATGTACTTCTCTGAGAAGTGAGCGTTACTCATGGGAAGGAGTGCTTTTTCACTGTGCGAGGTTGACACCGAGCACTCCGCGGGGTGTGTTTTCCCTAAGACAAACCGCTCCTTACTAGGAATGCAGATCTGGGCTGGAAGCTCTCTGTCTCCCTTTGTGAAAAGCCTCCCCTTGGAGATCATGAGCACTGCTGCTTACTGTGGCGGGCTCCCGTGTGTGTCTTGGGTAACTATACTGAAAAGAGGCGATTTTAGGGTCAACCCAGAGAACCAAGCGTGGCCCTTCAGAGACCCCGTGTTGTGATGGGAGGGCCCCAGGCCTCCCTTCCTTCACGGGTCTCTCCAGGGCCCCTCGCCCCTATCTCAGATCCCCACCATGGCCTCCTGCCATCCCACCGTGGACTCAGGTCGAGGCCCTGCAGACCCGGACTTGGGATCCTGCCTGAGGTCCCTGGAGAGTAGTTACGAACCAGCGAGAGTTTTGTTTGTTACCTGTCCTAAGCAGACCCCTGGGTGCAAAGCCAAAGGGATGATTCCCTCAATTCAGTAACAGGACATTTCAGGAAACAGATTCAGAGAGCAGTTCTAGGCTAGCAGGTAGCATGGAGGTTAAGGCACTGGCTCCCATGTGGTTAGCCATGTGCTTCAAGTCCCACGGTCAGCAGCTTGAAGATCACGCTGGGCATGTGCACGTGCATGCCCAAAATCCCAAGAGGAGAGTGGAGAGGGGGTCGCAGCAAGACAGCCTCCTGAAATAATTTCTCACTTTCCTTCTCTTCTTTCCTCTCTCTCTCTTTCTGATGAGCTCAGGCACTAGCTAGCAAAAACTTAAAAAAAAAAAAAAAAATTCTGGTATGATGGTGGTTGTGGTGGTGGTCAGGGGGTGTCCAGAGAGCCTAACTGAGAACCCTTTAAATGGTTTTATTTACGTTTATGGGCCCCGTGCTGAGCCCCACCCAGGCATGAGGTACCATCGATATTCTCTGAGTAAAGACCGTAGGTCTGAAGGTTTGGAACAGCGTCCAGGCTGCCCAGCCTCCATATAGGGATGATCACGTATGTACCCACCTGTATGCGAGAGCAGGAGGGGGCAGGGGAACCCGGTCTTAACCCTCCACCCTGCAGAGTGAGTGTGTCAGGTCCCCAGAGGCGGGAAGTGTTGTTTAACCGAAAAACAAATGTGCATTCGTGGGGAGGGAAGGAGACACAGAGGCTTGTCGTCCTTGACGCTGCCCCGGTGTCCCCCAGGAACACCTGGGGACAGCCTGTGGTGCCCCTGCCGGACACCTGGGGCTGCCCCGCCTGCATCCTGACTGCCTGCTGCAGCCAGTGGGACCTCCCGCTCCAGCTCGGCAACTGACGTAATGCTGGCACAGGAAGTTCTAATCTGGAGTGTTTTTGTTTGTTGTACTTCCTCAGGATTTCCTTGGATCTGGAGACCCCAAAGAAACAAAGATGCTAATCACCAAGCAGGCTGACTGGGCCAGAAACATCAACGAGCCCAAAGCCGCCGTGGAGATGTACATCTCGGCTGGGGAGCACGTCAAGGCCATCGAGATCAGCGGTGCCCACGGCTGGGTTGACACGTAGGCCCCAGCCCCTGCCCCGAGAAGCGCCTGGCACCGTGTCATGTCAGCTCACGGTTTGACTGACAAGGGAAAAATAGTGTTTTCCTAAATATTTCAACCAAATGTGACAGAGACTAGGTTTGGGGGGAGACACACATTGAACGAGGCAGCTACTGCCTTTGGGGGACTGCACGCCTTGTGGGAGAGTGGCGGGGACGAGCAGGGAGAGACACCAGGTGTCCGAGCTGCCCTCCTGCACACTCACTCAGACCAGGCCCTGCAGCGCCCTTGCAGTCATTGGTCCCCCACACTCGGGGCTGGTGTTTCAGGGCTCATCTTGCTCGTGAGGAAACCAAGCCTCAAGGGACAAGTGGTGACAAAAGGCCAAGCATCTGGGGACTCACGGAGCTGAGCTTCAGGCTGCTAACACGTTTGATGGCAGATCCCCAAAAGAGCAGGGAGTGCTAAGTACCTCGGGGAGGGGAAGTCTCACGGGAGGCACTGTGGAGGTCTCCTCTAGGAGGTGGTCTCCGTGCAGAGACTTCAGAGAGAGATGCGGTGGGGCTGGAGGTGGGGAGGACAGCGTGAGCAGGGCGGTGTGTGGGAGTTGGAGGGCGAGCGTGACTGCTGTGGGCAGGGGCACTGGACCGATCACACCAGGAAGGCTGCCTGCTTGTGAGGACCCATGGTACAGCTGTCCCTGGGAGCACCCCTCCAGCAGTGGGGCGGGGGGCGGGGACAGAAAACAGTGGAGGAAGGGGTCGAGCTGCGATCATGTGCACTAAGACCCTGAGCTCTGCAGCTGGGACCGCAGCGAGGCCTGCGTTCGCATCCCGGTCCAGCCTAAAGTCCAGCCACAGCAGTGTGCACCCGTCACCCCTGTGACTCGGGAGGCTGAGGCGGGAGGGCACCAGCTCGAGGATCACCTGGGCAACAGGTGGGACAGCCCGGAAAGAGATAGGTGTGGTGGCATGTGTGTCCCCGCTGGGAGGCCGCAGCAGGACTCGTAACAGAGACCCCGACTTAAAGCCGGCAGTGACCAAAACCAGAGAAAGGCGAAGCAGATAAGCAGGCAGGGCAGCAGACCAGGAGAGAGTGTGGGACTAGAGGCCCGAGCCAGAGGGGGACCTAGGGAGTCGGCCTGCCAGCTCTGTGCCTGGTGGGGGTGCATAAGCAGGCAGGGCAGCAGACCAGGAGAGACTGGGGGACTAGAGGCCCGAGCCAGAGGGGGGCCTAGGGAGTCGGCCCGCCAGCTCTGTGCCTGGTGGGGGTACCCTTTGCTGAGGTGGAGAGCAGGCAGGTGTGGGCTGGGGCCGCACGGAGGCAGGACTCTCAGTGCCTGACCGCCCGGAGCTGGGCTCTGCCCTGCTGCAGTCAGGGCCATGGCCTGAACACACACATATGTGCACTCGTGTTTGCGTGTGCGTGTGCCACTGCGGCCGGCAGAGCAGGACAGAGGGGGCTCCTGAGGCTCCCTGAGCCCTGTGCCCAGCAGGAGCTGGCTAACGGCTAAGTCCCACCCACGGGCCCCACACCAAGGGGTGGCCCCATCCTTGTCTGAGAAGGACGTGTCTTGAAGATAGAGACACAGCTTTTGCGCCCAGATTATTCTTTTCACAAAAGAGGTGGTAGAGAAGAGAGCCAGGCAGGCTCAGCACCTCCCCCACCTCCCTTCTGCTTTACCCTAAGTCACTTCGCAGGTGCTAAGTCTCAGTTACCCTGGGGAGACTTAACTAGTTCGAGACAGCGACGGTCGGTGTGTCCCGACCCTGTTAGGTCTGGCTGTAAGAGGGCCTCTCCGGGGACATGCAGTCTGATGAGGGTGGTGCTTGCAGGGGTGTTTGGAGGCTCAGAGGGGCTGTCGTGCCACCTTTCCCCGAAAACGTGTCCTTTCTTTGCCGAGCAGCGTTATTTTTAGATGCCATTATTCTAAGTGCAGACTGGCAGGCCTCCCTGAGCTCGCCTGTCTGAGAAGGGCTCCGTTAGCTGCTTCCCTTTCCTACCCTCACAAAGTGTAGCAGTGGTTCCCCCGGGAGGGCTGGTTTATCCAAAGACCCCCATCGCCAGGCCAGAGGGAACAAGCGTGTTCTGTCCAGGCCCCATGTCCCATGAGCGGTGGGAGGCAGGGCGAGCCCACCAACCCCTGCGGCTCTTCCCTGTGGCCAGCACTTGGCCAGGAGGAGGAGCCCAGCAAGGCTTTCTTCTGGAGTGCGAGTAGGCCCCAGGAGCTCTCCCCCTGCAGGGCTGGGCTCTGGAGGGTTCTTGCGCCTGGCCTCTGCTTCCCTGTGCCAGCTCCTGAACTGGTGGGAGGAGCACTCGGCCACTTCCTGGCTGCCAAGTCTTGGGCAGGGCGCCTCACCTCCCACTGTAGCCCTCAGTCTTCTCATCTGTAACATGGGAACAATTGTGCCTACCTCCACCACGGAGGGAAAGCCTGGGGACCACCTTGGTACCTGGAGGGCATCAGCACACATCCGTTTCCAGCCCAGCTCCTGCTGCTAGCGAGGACCTCCTAGGAAGGGAACACAAGGTCCAGGCAGTGACAGCCTGTCCCTGCCCAGCCATGTCTCGGGTGTGAAATCACGTGTTTAACCACGGAGAGGAACAGGCTCAGGGCCTGCCCCGGCGAGGATGCAAGCCCCCTGCTGCCTCCCATCAGGCCACTTCACGGGCTCCCTCGTCCCTGCCCCCTCCAGGTTGATTGACATTGCGCGGAAGCTGGACAAGGCGGAGCGCGAGCCCCTGCTGATGTGCGCTCACTACTTCAAGAAGCTGGACAACCCCGGCTACGCCGCGGAGACCTACCTGAAGATGGGTGACCTGAAGTCCTTGGTGCAGCTGCACGTGGACACCCAGCGCTGGGATGAGGTGAGGGTGCCCTGGCCGTGCCCCGGACAGGCGGGTGGAGGGGAGCTTCCCGTGTGGGGACGGGGTGAGCACTGGCCTGGCAGTGAGACATAACCTCAGTCCCGGGGCCGACCGCGCTGGAGGGCCCTTCTGTACCAGCTCTTCGTTTGTGTAGTCACTCATTCACGTGGGACTCTACTGTGCCAGCCTGAGACGGGCTCCGGGCATGTGAGTGTTAACGCAGCCTCCCCCGCCTGCTGCTGGTCTCAGCTGCCTCTGACCAGCACCGTGGGCTCAGACGTGTCTCTGATGCAGAGACACACCTGTGTGACATTTACAACCTGCTGGGTGGCATTTTGGCAGAAAATGCCATCTGTACTTCCCAGATCCAGGCTGCCAGAGCCATTTCCAGGGCCAGCTCTTCCTTCCCTTCTGCGCTCCCCCACCCAAGCCTCAGCTTCTCTGGTGTGAGGCACGGCTGAGAAGGATTAGCCAGGCCAGCAAGGAAAACAGCCAGCCTGGGGCAGGCAGAGCAGCTGGTGTGGTCTGCTCCGTGGCCCGGCATCCACTGCCCAGCTCACTGGTCTCCTGTGCCGGAGAGAGATTCATCCTCCCGAGGGTTCGAGGCTGCGCCACGGCCCTCACCCCACCGTCACGCCCATCACGGCCTACTTCACGGGGCGGCGGCAAGGCCCTTTCTGGGTGAGAGGTGCCTGACTCTGGGCTGCCGTCCGAACGGCTCCATTTAGTGAGGGGACTGGGTCATTGATGAGAAAAGGTGGGGCCAGAAACATAGGCAATAATGCTTTTTCCAGATAAATTTACCCAGAGATTTGTCAAGCAGCATAAATCAGCATCTTAGAACCACTCGGTCCAGTTGGGCTTCCGGCAGCTTCCTCTCTATGGTTTCCGGCTCCCTCGGCCTGACAGGTGGCCTGGGGCTTAGGTGAAGCAGTCACTAGGTCCTGTACAGCTCCGAGTCCACAGTCATTCTTGACAGCTCATAAGCAGTGATGATGAGAATGTCAATTCTATTTCCTTAGGTGTCGCCTGCAATTAAAAGAAATCTGTTTGCAGCGCTACAGGAGCCCACGCAAACCCTCAAAATAAAATGTTTCCGATTCTGTGCCGCTTCTGTGGTCCAGAAACAGACTGTGTTGTTATTGAATCCAGTCGCTTGCATATTGCTGTTAATTGCCTTTTGTTTTCAAAGAGCTGATTTGTTTTTGCATTTCTGGGGGTGGTTGGGGGGGAGGCGCTCTCCCCCTCTGAGTTGTCAGGCTGGCAAAATATGACAACCCTAATGGATTCAGCCAAGTGCCATGTTTTCATGGGGGCTGCGGGGGCTGCTTTATTAAGAACGTGTTTGCTTCTCCTTCCAGGCCTTTGCTTTGGGCGAGAAGCACCCCGAGTTTAAGGATGACATCTACGTGCCCTATGCTCAGTGGCTAGCAGAGAACGATCGCTTCGAGGAAGCTCAGAAAGGTGGGCCACTCAGACTGGGCCCTCGCAGAAAGGGGCAACACGAGGCCCTGCTGGGACACACGTGTGGTGACATCATGGGGGATGTGACGTACTTGCTGGTGAAAGTCTGTAGGGTGACGTCATGGGGGCAAGAACAGGGGCTTTGGAGCTACAAAACACCCAGGCTGGCATTCACTGGCTGTGGGCCTCAGGGGGCCCGGTCTCTCATCTGAACCAAGTGTCGTGCGCACCAGTGTGTCTTCTCGTTGTGCCCACACTACAGTGTAACCCCTCACTACGGCCCTGGTGTGGGTGCTGTTACTGTAACCCCTCACTACGGCCCTGGTGTAGGTGCTGTTACTCTAACCCCTCACTACAGCCCTGGGTGTGGGTGCTGTTACTCTAACCCCTCACTACGGCCCTGGTGTGGGTGCTATTACTGTAGCCCCTCACTACGGCCCTGGTGTGGGTGCTGTCACTGTAGCCCCTCACTACGGCCCTGGTGTGGGTGCTGT